CCCCAAAACCCCAAAACCCCAAAACCCCAAAACCCCTTTTCTTGAAGAACTTATTGAACTTCAATTAATTATACAACCTTCTTCCTGTGGTTCGGTTGGAGACTTCCTCAGGCAGGCCAAGCTGCCCAGCTGTGCTACCTGGTTCTGAGGAACGAGGGTTAACTATCAGTAGGTCCGAGTTTAGAACATCTGACCTAGAGTTTGTGTTCTTGGGGAAATTCTTAAAAGTCATACATGTCTTATTGCTCTTGTGATGTTTGCTCGTTGAAGTTTTCAAGCCCTGCCTTCTCTTGGGAAGACTCCTCTGGAAATTTCTGGAGAACGGAAACTTGAGGTTCTTCCTATTCTGAGATTTTAGAGGGTCTGAAGAATGTGGCCTATCTTTCTTAACCTTCTGAAATTGGTCTTTCTTAGCCTTATCAGTGATCTTAGATAATACTTTGAACCTAGTCTTCTTATTTGAGGAGATTTGTCTGCTTTTCTGGGATGTACTTCTTTTCAAAAATTTGGAAGTCCTCTGGTAAACTTTTACTCTACTATGGCTTCTATAGTGTAAATTAGGGTAAGAATGCTCATAAAATGGTTTACTTCACCAGTTTTGTGCCCTTAAGACCCCTCTTTTTCTGGTTAGTTTTCTTCTTGAATATTAGGCTGGGAGAAGCATTTCTCTGAAGTCTTTGGGATTTATACTGCTTTGGAACAATCTTGTATTTGGCAGCCTTGCTAGTATTTCTAGAAAAATTAAATGTAAGATACCTTGACCTGCTTGCTCAAGCTTGAGAGGGGTCGGACTCCTCGTAAGGAACGTTTCTAGTTCAAGATTTTAAACCGATTTTGTAACTTTTGAGCCCTTTTGGGATACTTTTTGAGTACCGAGGATTGGATCTGCTCTGAAAATGTCTTTTTCAAGCTGTAGGCTGTATCTGGCTTTTATTATGAAGGATGAAACTTCCTTTATTCTTAATAGAGCAGAGATCTTTCCGAAGGCATCCAGCCACGAATAACTGACTAGGTGTAGTAGACCTTAGTTTAGGAATAATTAACCTTCCCTTGGTCATAGGTTTATTCTGTAGCTTAAAAGGTTTGTCAGAGGGTTTTGTGTGCTTTTTGGTGCCCTTCCGCTTCCTTTTAGCATTCTTTAATAGCTCAGGAGCTGATGGTTTAGACGAGATTAAGGGATGGGTTATGGTAGCATTCTTCTCACTGTTCTGAATATTATTATAACTTTTCAGAATTCTCCTTGGGCGAGGTTGCCTGAAGGAGCTTTTAGATGAAGCTTCGCTTAAAAGGGCCGGAGATACAATAAATCTAGTAGTGTCAAGTCTATTTGGCTTGGGGAGTTCCATTTCCATATAAGCAAGAGCTTCGTTAACATCATCAAAATTTTCAGAAGCTTCTTCATCTAAGGTATGTTTATCCCTTTGCTTCTCTTCTTTGATAGCTGGCGTGAACATATGAGGAGAAACCTTAGAGCTTCCTATCCTACTTCTTGAATTATTTTGATACTTTTGCAAACTCTCTAGATTATTATCGGAATCTATATTTTTCAAAGAGTTTCTAATAGCGCCTTCTTTATAATTAAACAGGGCATTAGAGTTTCCTGCTGTGACCATTGATGATCAGTTAAGATCTTTTGGCACTTCAAAAGATTCCATCACCTGGTTATTCCGAGGTATAACCGTCATAAGTTCAGAATACTGGCTCCCAATACCAAGAAAGGACCTCTCTAGGTCCTTTCTTGGTATTTGAATAGCCTCATTATCCTGAAAAATCTGAGTCTGATACAGAACTTCAGGATTCTTCACCTCCTCTGTTGCATCAGCAGGTAGTTGATACCTGCTGAGGTTCATTGGAGAATAAATCGCAGAGTTTTGGCTAGAATTCTGTGAGGAATAGCCTTCATCAATCATCAAGACATTGTGTGAATCTGGGTTCAGATTTACTTTTGCATTGTCTCTTGATCTAATAATGTCATATTTCATGAACTCTGACTGCAGAGAGATGCCTCCTTCCCGATTAGTGATATTTGAAAGACTCAAGTCATTGAAGATGAGGTTCTTGGCTGCGCCAAGAACATCATCTGCATATTCTTGTTGCTCTTTGTCAATCCTAATCCTGGACTGGTCACTGATATCTCTGTAAGGAAGCTCAGCAAAATTACAGACTTTATAGTATATTTGATCTTTATAGTCTTGCCTTGAGAAACCAGGAATAATCAAAGTGTCATCTTTCGGAGATTTATTTTCATCATTTTTAGGCATTTCTCATTGAGCCTTAGTGGAATCTGCAAGTAATAAATTGGTATTTTGTTGAAGAAGTTTCATATTTGGATGCGAATTCTCACTTAAAATAGCATTCTTGGAGTCAATAAAGCTCGTATTTGCACCAAAGGAGCCTTTCAGATGTTTGGGCATATGCTGGGGCCTAAAATTTAGATGAGAAGTTACTTCTGAGATTCATCATCAGAGAGATCACAGATCTTCTTTATGTCACCATCAGTTTGATAATTACTTAGATTCAACTTAGCAAGAGATCTGAAAGCATCAAAATCTGTCTGGTTTCACTGATCGGCTTTATGAGACTCAACTACCTTTACTTCTCTGTCCTCCTCAGTCTGGTGAGATGGTCACTGTGGTTCATTTTCTTGGTCAAGGAGAACTCTCGAATTTGGCACAAGTCCTTGATTCAAAGCTAAATTAACCTCAAAATTGTTGTCTTTTTCCAAATTTACAGACTCTTGACTCATAAAGCTGCTTTCTTTGCTGCTGGGAAATAAGGGAGTGACCACTTTATCATTTTTTGGTTCTGGGAATATGCTTTCTTTTGGCCTTAATTCCATTCCATTTTTGAGCACTATTATCAAAAATTATAGCCTTATTGCTAAAATGATGTAATAGCTAAGAACAGTTTAATAGCCTACCTTGCTTGATATGGTCGGATACAGTGTAAGAGTGTGAAATTACACTCGCATTCTCGCTGTGAGTAAGTTCATCCAAGTCTTTCTCCATCTATGCGGGGTTAAAAATATTTAAATTCTATGAAGTTTTACTTCTAGGGGTTTTGGGGTTTTGGGGTTTTGGGGTTTTGGGG